TTGTTGATGCCGCCACTGAATTGAATTCAGAACAGTTCAGCAATTTTGTTCAGGGTCATAACATTCGGTTAACCACCATTAGTCCAGAAGCCCAATTTCAAAATGGTCGAGCCGAGCGACATGGAGCCATTCTCAAGACCATGTTAACCAAGTATGAAAGTGAGCAGGACATCAACAACTACCACGAGCTATCTCAAGCACTGTTCTGGTGTACCCAAGCAAAGAATGCCAGCAGCCTCAAGAGAGGATATGCCCCGGAGGTCCTGGTGCTAGGCAAGCACACCCGCTTGCCTGGAGCCGTCTGCAGCGATGAACTCCTGCCAGCTCACCTGTTAGCTAAATCGGAGAGCGCGCAAGGAGTAGCCTTCAGGCGACAATTAGCATGCCGTGAGACTGCCAGAAGGGCGTTCATCCATGCTGATAATGATGCTGCCTTGCGCCGCGCCATGTTGCGGAGATCCAGACCTGGCCAAACACCATACTCACCAGGGGAATGGGTAATGTGTTGGCGTCAAGGAAAAGGTGCCCAAGAAGGGTTCTGGGCCGGTCCAATGAAAGTAGTCATCCATGAAAACGCACAAACGATTTGGACCACTCAGGCCAGTCGACTATATCGATGTGCCCCAGAGCATGTTCGCCCTGTATCCGCACATGAAGCACGAGGAATTCCAATACCCAACAAAGAACCATCAGTATCCATTATTGCACAACAACTTCCAAGCGTACAATCCCAAGGAATCACCAGAGCCATCGAGATATCACCATCCATAATTCCCATTGAACCTGTGATCCCCGTAAATAATCCCGAGAATGAAAATCAATCTGAAGCTCAACCTGATGGAGAACCAGAGGCATCCACACACCGGTCACAGCCATCCACTTCGAGCCATGTACCACTTGAAATTTCCAATAACCCTGAACTGACCAATGATAACCCCATGAATAATTCTCCCGAAGAACTAGATCCGGCCATCACCACACCAGTACCACCTGATGACGATGATGACCTCTACTGTGAGGGATACCATTGCATAGACCTTGATGCTCCCATAGACCCGCAAACATCCGAGCATGACCTGGCCTGGAAATGTGAAGTACATGTCACTGACTCCGATATCATGGCATGGCAAGACGAATCGGATCCGGCTGAAATGGCTTTTGTAGCTTCAGCAGCAAAGCGCCAGCGAGCCGAAGTCCGTCTGTCCGAGCTTACTGCAGCAGAAAAAGCCCAGTTCCAAAAGGCCAAGGAGAGTGAAATCCAGAATTGGGTAAATACTGGTACCATATCCCGAATCTTAAGGTCTAAGGTTCCACATGAACAGATTCTGAGATGCCGTTGGATATTAACCTGGAAACCCATAGATGAAGAACAGAAGGATCCCAAGAAGGTCAAAACCCAAACCTCAAAGGCAAAAGCCAGATTGGTGATTCTAGGGTACCTAGACCCAAAGCTGGAAGAGTTGCCCCGAGACTCTCCAACCCTTGGCCGGAACGCAAAGATGCTGTCTTTACAGCTGATTTCATCCATGGGATGGATGCTGCGGTCTTTTGATATCAAGGCTGCATTTCTGCAAGGCAAGCCACAAGCTGGACGAACACTAGCCATTGAGCCTGTTCCCGAGCTCATACAAGCCCTCCAGTTATCCACAAACGAAGTTTGCAAGTTGGAAAAGGGTGCTTACGGTTTAGTAGATGCTCCATACCTGTGGTTTATGGCCATCACTGAAGAACTCAGAAACCTCGGATTTATTCAAAGTCCCTTTGATCCATGCCAATTTATCCTCCGTCACGAGAGAACCAACAAATTGTCAGGGGTAATTGGACTTCATGTAGATGACGGCATATGCGGGGGGGATGAATTTTTCGAAGCAAAACTTGCCCTTTTGGAAAAGAAGTATCCATTTGGTTCGAAAAAGATGAAACAATTCACGTTTACTGGGATTGAAATGAATCAGTTACCCGATCACACCATAACGATGAAACAGACCAAATACGTGAATGCCATTGAACCAATTCGAATATCCCTTGATCGCAAAGGACAAGGTGAAAGCCCAGTCACAGAGGAAGAACGACAAAAACTCCGAGCCTTAATTGGTAGTCTCCAGTATGCCGCGGTTCATACAAGACCCGATCTGTCAAGTCGTTTAAGCCAGTTACAATCAGCCATCAATAAAGCCACAGTACAAACACTCAGTTTTGCCAATCAAACACTTCATGAAGCAAAGAAACACAGTGAAACCACCATCAGAATTCAACCCATACACGTCGATGACTTTCGATTCCTCGCCTTTTCCGATGCATCCTTCGCCTCGAAGGGAACACCAAATGCACATACTGGTTGCATAATCATGGGAACCCATAAGATGATTGCGCAGAATGTTTCCTGCCCTGTAAGTCCTATAGCCTGGGGTTGCAAGAAGATCCAACGTGTGGTCACCAGCACGCTTGCAGCGGAAACAGTATCACTCAGCTCAGTTTTGGATCATTTGTCATGGCTACG